CGAACCCACGATCTCCCACTCTCCGAGCAAATGCTCTACTGACTGGGCTAATCCAGGGGCGAAGGATATGTTTAAACAGGGGAGGTGGGATAGGGGGACTCCCATGTGAAGTAGACGGGGATGCTCGTCGGAAAATTGAAATCAAAGCCTAAAGGAGATCAGCCTTTCCAATCTGGGCCTGGCTTACTCTTAATTTCACCCCTAAAAGAGACCATTATACAAAAAGAAAGCCAAATAAGAGCCATAACAACAACATAGCCTGTTCCAAGCTCTCAGATAGTGGGTAAGACGCGAAACTGAAAGGCACGCGAAAAGTTGGCGGAGCCGTAAAAAGGTCAGCTTTCTCTCATATTTTTTTCATAATTCAGCGGACCTGACTATCTCGGAGCCTGGAACAGGTTATAATAACAGATTGTGGTAAGCTGTCATTGCATGCATTCTTTTTTCCTCCTTTCGTCCAGTTTTCTGAGTTCTATCTTCACGCACAACGTTAAGCGATACCCGACGTAAACCTTTCTATCGTTCACGAAAGAAGTGTAAACCGTGCGAAATGCATTTGATCTTTGCTTGCTCAGTTCGTGTAGCTCAGTTTAACGTTTTTATTGCTCGAGTTAGAAGTTCTCAACAAAATTGCCTCAGACTTTAAATCGTCATGTAAGGGATTGGAACATGCAAAGGAAAGCACGAGCCAAATTCTAAAAACTTTCTTTATCCCAATATCTATTTTTTCAGGGGAGTAGCTGGGAGGGGGGGCGGGGTCCTGGGGTGCCCGTGACCACCCCCCCTCTCACCCCCGTGTGCCCCTCCCCTCCGCGCCCCCTCCCCTCTTATCCTTCCTACTAACCAAGCAGTCAAATAATTTCGACCGAAAAACCACCGACTAACTGTCACCAAATCGATCAAAAAAATTGCCTTAGACTTTAAATCGGCATGTAAGGGATTGGAACCAGCAAAGGAAAACACAAGCCAAATTTTAAAAATTTTTTTTTTCCCAATATCTAATTTTTCCGGGGAGTAGCTGGGAGGGGGGGGGGGGTCCTGGGGTGCCCGTGCCCCCCCCCCCCCCACCCTTGGTAGGCCTTCCTTTGAGCAAACAACCTACAATATTCAGGTGGCGAAAACGCCATGACAATATCTTGGCCGTGAGAGCCATTGTTGAAAAGCCCACTTTTTGAAATTTTGTTTTTTTGTAAAGTATTTTCGTCAACGGCTCTTGTCTTTAAATATGGGCCTTCATGCGCCGTGGAGGTCGACATGACAATCTGGTGAGTAGCCTCTGTGACCCCCCCCTTTGAAAAATGCTGGCTACGCCCCTGTTTTTTGCACTATCCACTGGACGAAAACACAAAACGAAAACTCGAGAGTCAAGTCAACTTTATTGCGCACTTAAAAAAATCGGGAGGCTCCTGAAAAAATAGAGATCACAAAAAATTACTGACGAATACACCATGAAAACTAACTAAACTTTATGTACGTGCATAGTACCCAAGGTAGCCGAACTATGCTTTGATGTTGGTCACCGTCCTGTTTCAAAAAAACAAACTGAAGGAAGAGGAAATTTTCCGGCTGGCAGAGGCCTCTTTTCCTTTGTATTCGCTGAGCTGACAGCTCAAAACCGTGAAGAGTTTCCCGGGCAGTTAGACTAGGGGTGCTTCCCATTATGCGGAAATTTTGGTCGAAATAGAACGCTTCGGTCCACGAGGAAATTTTCCGGTCAAAGTGGTTCACCTCCAGAGGTGGTCCTCTTTGACCGGTCGGTTCCTTCCGTACGGAACTTACATGCTTTGGAAAAGCCAGGGAAAAGAGCCCTGGAGGTTGAGCAAATTTAGTTTTTAATTCTTTTTGCCTACAAGTTGATTTTTGGATACTCTAAAAGGAATAGAGAAAATTATGCGATAGAGTACTTTTGATAAAAAGAAAAAGAAACCCGGGTTAAAATTTAACGCCGGGTTAGTACTAACCGGCGTTCGAACAACGGGGCCCTGTTCAGGTCGTTCAGGTCATTGTTATCGAAGGTCGTCCACATTTTGTAATCATATAATATATAGATTTAGCCAGGGCTAAAAGCGAAGCTCCTATTAACTCGAATTTATAATTCAAATCAAACAATAAACTTGTATTCCACAAATCAGTTAACTTTAGAGCACATTCATGTGACTTTTGAGGGAAAGACTTCGTGATTTTCGAGAAAAATAATTTGCAAACAGTCCAAGCTAAGAGTGAACTTCATCTTACATCGAGTTGATAGCCTTTATATGTACACCCCAAAAATAGCAATCATCTTCGATCACATTTAAGAGCCATAATGGCTCTTGATCACAGTAGATTAGGCCTGGAAAACA